ATATATATATATATATATATATATATATATACATACACACACACACAGAGTTCTGGCATGAAACTCTAGATGGCACAGTCCGATAGGTCTAGCTCAATCTCACCTGGTGACATCATTGTCACATGGCAGCTGATTGGTACTTTTTACCTTTTCTGACCCACTTCAGGTCTTAAAGTCTCTATTAATGAGCTGACGAGTTAAATTGGGTGTGTTAAGACGAGTGAGACAGTGCTGGGCTGCTCCAGGACAGTCTGAGACATGTTCTTAAATGTGACTCATATAAAATATATTACATGTATGCACAGTTTTAAGTCAGCTTTAATCGTCTTTTTGGTAACTTCATGACTTAACTGACCAAGATATTGCATGCACGTAGTTTAGCACGCGCTGGCGCCTTTGTGCGTGCAATTGAAGCGCACGCCCTGCGAGCATAGTACCATTTCTGCACTCGTTTGACTCGTGCCTGGCGCTAAAGTGAAGTGGAGCGCGTGTCTGAAATGTCTCACGTTCTCGGTCGTTCTGAGATTGAATATATGCACTTCTTGTCAAGAAAAAAATTGACAGAAGCAGCAGATGTGAGTGGGGTGGCCAACCCTAGCCCCGCCCCTGCGTTAATTGTTATTATTGAATATTAAATAAATATTTTTAACGCTTGCATTAACGAGCTAATTTTGACACCACTAATATATATATATATATATATATATATATATACATACACACACACAGAGATCTGGCATGAAACTCTAGATGGCACAGTCCGATAGGTCTAGCTCAATCTCACCTGGTGACATCATTGTCACATGGCAGCTGATTGGTACTCTCCTGTATCGGTAGCCAGTGAGCTCGCTGCTCAATATTCAAATACCTGGCTTATGTTTGCTGTAGCAGTTGGCAGTGCACTTCAGAAATCTTTCACCTTCCCCAGCTCCACCTGTATAGATCTGCTACGGGGTGATTCATGTATGCTATATGGGGGTTATTCTTATGTGTTATATGTGCAGCAGCAGTATTTCTTACATGCTTACAGCAGCATGTTGTGGATGTATTAGCAGTAGCAAGTCTCGGTACTTGCTCTGCCGCAGCAGCATAGCAGATCTATTCCGCCAAGACCAAATACATTAGCATTGTCATGTACATTACCATGCCAATCTCTCTGAGAGTTGTCATGACAGAAGTAGGGGTAAATGTTTGTTTGGTTTACTATTTATTATTATTTTCTTAGGCTGATATGTCAGAATTGCACTGCAAATGTTTGTTTTGGTTTGCTATTTATTATTGGGGTTTTTTAAGGCAGATATGTCAAAATTGCACTACTGTGGTAAATATTTGTTTTGGTCTACTATTCATTATTTTAAATTGATGTGCTAAAATTGCACTTCTGTTCTAAATGTTTTATTGACTTTAAAAATCTATGCAAATAAAAACGGGTTGTTGATCTTTGCCCTCACATTATTGTGCCTATTTGTATTCTCACAATATTTGCAACTGTAAACACATTTTTTTTTTTAAGTCTTCCAGTATTACATAACTGTAATTCACAAAATAAAAACAGGGACAGCCAGAATAAGGCAGACAATATATTTTATAGTTTCTACTGTAATAAAAGCTGTCAATTAGCACTCCTATTTTAGGTTGATGTGTCAAAATTGCACTGCTGTTCTAAATTTTTTATTGACTTTAAAAATCTATGCAAATAAAAAAGGGTTGTTAATTTTTGCCCTCACATTGTTTTTGTGCCTATTTGTGTTCTCACAATAGTTGTAGCTGTAAACACATTAAAAACAGGGACAGTCAGAATATGGCAGACAATATAATTTATAGTTTCTATACTGTGAAAAAAGGTGTCAGTTAGCACTGCGTTATTCATGTATCTTATGAAAATGCACCAAGAAGATGGCTTGAAAAACACACAAACCATATATTGTTGCAAATGTATGTTTGTCTTCACGTTATATCAGTCAAAATATTTCAGCTTTTTTTATCCAGTGACAGCTGGATGCCTTTGTCCATATAAGGCAGTGGTTCTCAAACCTCTCCATGAAGTACCCCCAGCACTGCACATTTTGCATGTCTCCCTATATCTGACACACCCACTTCAGGTCTTGCAGTCTCCACTAATGAGCTGGTGAGTTGAATCAGGTGTGTTAGATAAGGGGGACATACAAAATGTGCAGGGCTGGGGGTACTCTAGGACAGGTTTGAGAACTACTGATATAAGGGATTTCCTGGAGCGTTACAAGTTAGTACTTCTTCGAGTCCATTTTGGACTTTTTGCGAGAGAGCGTCCTCTGGCGTCCGGTATGAATGAAATATACATAACGTGAGTGTGTTTACATTGGAGAGTGCCCAAATTAAAGTGCG